TCTTTTGTTACAATAAAATTATGCATTAGTTTCCAAGTCATCGATGACTTAGCAAGTAATATGTAGGGATGTCAAATGAGTTTTTGTCCAAGAAGGCTCAATGTGATCCCTTTTGATACAATTGTAGGCATCTTTGAAAGATAACTCACCATTTATAGTTTCTGTCCAAATGAGTTTATTATTAAACATGTGACTCCATACATAAGGGGGTAAGCTATGGAGTTTTTTAAATCATTTATTTAAAACAAAATCATTTCCAAAATTAGAGTTTGAAAATACTTTATCAAAAGCGTTTGAATATGCAGCAAAATTCAAACTAAAGAAATTAAGTGGAAAATAAAAGAGATAAGGGAAGAGAGAACTGTTGGACAAGTGATTTCAAGCACAAGAGGCCGGAGTGAGGGGGGATGAATTGTAGTATTAAAAATACTTGATTAATTTAAAACTTTCTCAATTAAGACATATTACTAATTTTTAGGTGAAAAATCGCAGCGGAAATAAAATGTTGAAAAGTAAATTGCAGAAAATAAATGGATAGGTTGGCCTAGTCTTGTCCCCAAGAGGTCTTCTTGTGAGTTTCACTAAAAAATTTGAGCTTTTGAAGGTTATGCCACAAACCTTTAATGCAGTTTTTATCCTAGGATAAACTATCAAACCGTTTAGAGATTTATGATTGATCTCAATAACCAAAACAAATCTTTTTTCGAAAAAGCTTAATAAAGCAAAAACAAAGATTTTATAACAGGTTGATCTCAAGAACCAAACTCAATCTATTAAAGGTATCGCACCATTAAGAATGTAAATGACCAACACGACCACTTACAAAAATATCTTCTTCACAAGTAAAGCTTCAATTAGTAGCACTAAGGCAATTAGAAGTGAAAAATTATTTTTCAAGTAGAGGGAAGAGATTATATTCTAAAGAATTATGAAAACGTTGGAAAGTGGCATAATTTGGAGTGAGGGTGTGCCTCCCTTATATAGGAGTTGGAAAAGAAAAGAAAGGAAATAATCCATAGGCCGAATTGATTATTTAATCGGTTGGAAAAATGCTCCAATCAATCAAATAGCTCATATATAATCAATTGAAAGCCTCAAAGAGGAAGGTTGGATATAGATTCGTTGCAAGTCATTAATGTGTTTTCGTCATTGATTTTATAATCAATTGACACCCTTTTAATTAATTGGCATAGTGCTCGAATCAATTAGCTGGTTGAAAAAGTTTTCCAATCGATTAACATTTCTTTCCAATTGATTATATCATTTGTTTTTTGCAAGAAAATAATTTTGAAGGATGTTTTATTTGTGCGTACATGTTCATGCGTGGGAGCGTACATGTGTGTGTGTGCGCACGTGCGTGCATATTACGTGCGTAAGTGTATGTATGTGTGTTTGTGTGTACACACGTGTGTGCGTGTGTATACACGTGTCTGTGCCTGTGTGTGTGTGTATGTGAATGTGTTTGTGTGTGTGTGTGTGTGTGTGCGTGTGTCCTGTGTGCGTGCGTGTGTCCTGTGTGTGTGTGTGTGTGTGTGTGTGTGTGTGTGTGTGTGTGTGTGTGTGTGTGTGTGTGAGAGAGAGAGAGAGAGAGAGAGA